CTCCCCTTCCCTGGGTTCAAACTCAGGACCTTGTGCTTGTCAGGCAGGCGCGGCACCACTGAGCTACATTCTCAGCCCAAAAGCTCATTATTATTATTATTATTATTTTTGGTACCAGGATTGAACTCAGGACCTTGCACTTGACAAGCAGGCAGCAGAACCAAGCTCATTATTTTTAATATGGTATTTACCTCAGGGTAGAGCTCTCACTGGAGTAAGCATAGAGGTTGCTTTAGAAAGCACTTTTTGTATCAATGGCCCAGTAGTGAGTGAGTGGGCACATTAACTGGGATTCTAACTGGGATTCTGCGTGGTTCTCTGAACTTTGTGATTTATTTGTTCAGGTACCTCTGTTGGCCTTCTCATCAGTATATGTGTGTTTTGCTTTGGAACCAGATATCTCTTCCTAATATCTTATTTTCTCTAATTCAGAATTTAACCCCATAAACAAAATTGTTTTTTCAGATGCTTATAGGAGGTCAAACAAGTAACATAAATGAAATCAATCATTTTCATAAATGCATAAGAATATTTGTCCCTTGCACAGAGAAATATGTAACCCCAGTGTTTGTAGTTCTTTTGATTTTTAAGAAAAGCTAGACAGAGATTTTCATGTGAAATTTCCTAATTTATAAATGGCTACAAATTTTTAAAAATTTAAAACACTTGAGAATGCCAAATAAAATCAATTTGTGTGGCTTTTGCTATACAGCAAGTATTGGTTAGTAATTATTAATGTGCTGTAGGCCATACAGTCATTCCTCTGCCTTACTCTTATCTTCTCCTTGCTACTCACTTCCGTCTGTGTGGATTTGTAGAACATGTAGCATTTCTAGTCAGATGTGTATAAATAACAATTCAATTGTATAAGAAAAACTGTGGTAACAGTTTTGCCCTCAGTTCTCCCAGTGACGATGTATTGCATGGATACATAAAAGCCTAGGTGGAGCCAGCCATTCAGGCACATGTCTATATTCTTAGCACTTTGGGCACCTGAGGCAGGAGGATCACATGTTCAAACACAGCTTGGTTTACTTAGACCTGTCTCAAAATTAAAAAAGGGCTAGAGATGTAGCTCAGTGCAAAGGCCTGGGGTTCAATCCCCGGTACCACAAAACAAAACAACAACAATAAGAAAACACAAACACTACAATTTGGGTCACAGGAGGTTTAATCTCTTCACTGATAGTTATTAAAGTCCCAGGGCTCTTGGGATACAACCAGAGCCGAAGTGATTTGCCCTTCTGAGTGCACTTGACATTTATACTTCCCACAGACAGGGTTTGGATGAGTTTGTTAACCCCAGTCTGTCTGGAGTTCCCTGTTCCAGGCCCAGTCAGTCATGGTCAAGGTGACAGTATGCTTTCAAATGACACCAATAGCAGGAGTTGCACAAGTTTTTATACAGAACTGTTTCAACTTGTCTCTTTAGAAGAGAGCTATGAACAGATAGTTCAAAATGAACATGAAATTCAAATAAAATGTTCTGATTAAAATCATTTTTATAGTTTTAGAACAGCATTTTACAACTTCAGTTTGAAATATGAAAGTATTCATTGCTGGAGATAACAGTAAACTTTCTTTTTTAACCTTAAGTGGTTTAGTAGTCTTCCTTTCTTCCTTATTTTCCTCTCTGCCTCCTTCCCTTCTTTCTTTCCTTACATTCTTTTCTTCCTTTCTTTAATGCAGAAATCTCACTTTCTTGCCCAGCCTGATTTCAAACATCCTTCTGTCTCAGCCTCCCAACTAACAGCTCAGCTACATTCTCTTCTAAATACAAATGATACTGTTATTTTTGTTAGAATGTCTATATATATGAGCTATTTTTTCCCCTTTAGATAAAGAGAACTTAATAAGGAAAGGGCCAGGGATTTAGCTCAGTGGTTCCGCTGCCTGCCCTGTAAACGCAACGACCCGATTTCAATCCCTGGTACCAAAAAAAAAACCAAACCCTAAATAAAAAGAAAAATAAGGGAATGCATATTTAATCTTATATTTTGCTTTAATCAAGAAAAATTTGAATGATTATGAACTGTCTGACTTTGGTTTAGCAATGATTAACATAAAACAAAAACATTAGGGTTAGTTTAGATTTGTTACATAAAATATTATAGGTAATAAATGTGAAGTGAGCAAACAGGAATAATACAGTTCAAATGAATTTAAAATGGGGTAAAATGAATTCTTTCAAATTCATTTTTTTCATAGGATGACTTTTGTATTCATTCTTCCCACAGGATGACAAATCAAAAAAGCAGTTTGTTTGTATTAATACCCTAGAAGACACACAAGCTGTTAGAGCAGTGGCTTTTCATCCAGGTGGTAGTTTATATGCTGTTGGTTCAAATTCAAAAACTCTGAGAGTATGTGCCTATCCAGAAGTAATTGATCCAAGGTAAGAATAGATGGTTTGTATTACCATTCAGTTGTGTTTCAAGTCTTCCTTCCTTTAAGCTTTATTTTTTAATTTTTAATGCTTAGGAAATATACTTTAATCATCAATTTTATGATTTTTCCCCATAAAAATTTTAAATTAAAGGTTTAGTACTCTAGTCTTCCTTATTTCTGTGACTTTATATTTTATTTTTCATCTGAAAAATCTCTTACATTCCAATTCAGTTGTCTAAGATTAAAAAGAAAGTAAGGCTGGTTACAGACTAAGGAAATAAACATTTCTTAAAATGGCTTCAGAGAACTATATGAAATTGCTGATATTTGACCATTTCAAACCTACAAAAATTAAAATTTTATTTGATTAATGTAACAGTGATTTAACCCTCTTGTTTTAACAGGTTATGGGATTTGAGAATAAGGCATATGTCTTTAAAGACATATTAAAAATAAGCTGGGCATAGTGGTGCATGACTATAATCCCAGGGCTTGGGATGTTGAGGCAGGAGTAGCACAAGTTCCAGGTCAGCCTGGACTACATGGTGAGAACGTGTCTTAAACAAATGAAAAGGACATGCTTAATATTATTTATAGCTCAGTGATAGAGTGCCTGGCATGCACTGAAAAAAATATATATATTAAATATAAGGCTAGGGATGTAGCTTGGTGGTAGAGCAGTTGCCTAGCATGCATGAGGCCCAATGCCCAGTACTGGGGAAAAAAGGAAAAAAAGATATAGTTGATAAATTTTATGATGTGTGAAATGAATGACACAAAAGGAATAGTTTTCAAACCAGTAGACAAAAACACACAAAAGGCTATAATCTTTAAAAGTTTTAGTATAAAAAGTGCTCCATGTCACAGTATATTTTAGCCTTTTTTAAAAAAACTGCTCAAGACATTACCTAGTTTAGGAAACAGAGTAATGGGATTTTTTCAGTTATTTGCACTTTTTTTTTTTTTTTAGCTGTCTCTATGTCTAAAACCAGCAGTTTTGACTTTTAGACTATGATAGTATTTAAAGATTGGAAGAGGAATACTAGGGCCTAAGTTAGGTCATAGTGTTGTAATTATTAGTGCTCATTGTGTATTAAGTAGAAATACATGAGAGAGAAAAGGCAGAATTCTAGGTCAGGGAGTGGAAAATAGCAATAATTATAAAGGCAGAGCCAAAGACTTGTATGTGTAGAGTTAACCTGATTTTAAGTTAGCTATTTCTCAACTTTTTTTTTTTTTTGGAAGTATTGCTTTTTTATGTTTATTTTGTTTATGTAACTGATACTACAACACTGCTTTAATTAATGTTCATATAATTTCAGTGCTTCATAGCATAAAACCTACATGTGAATCATAATAGTTATTTGCTACAGAATTTCTGTTAATTTATTTCAAAAGTTTTATATCAGATTTGGACCCTGGCTCAATATATTTTTGTTTATAAAATAATTTTCACTAGTTTCAGCCCCTACTGGGAATATAATGTTACTAGTTTAAAGTATACATTTGGTTTCTATGCATTAGAAGTTTATTTATAAACTTTCTCTCTAAAATGAATAATTTGATATTGAATAGAAAGATCTGATAAAAATTGTGCACATTTATAAATTCACAGTTTTACCCCACCACAACTTATATGCTGCTAAGTGAAGGCCTGTGGCTTAAAGTTTTGTCACATTTATAGTCACATAATTTCTCATGGGCATGGATTTTCAAATGTTGATTAAGGTGTGCACTCTGACTAAAGGCTTTCCTACATGCATTACATTTGTAGGGTTTCTCTCCTGTATGTGTTCTTTCATGTTGATTAAGATGTGTCCTCTGGCTGCAGGCTTTCCCACAAAAACTATAATTGTAAGGTTTCTCTCCAGTATGAAGTCTGTGATGTTCTGTAAGAGATGAGATGCGGCTAAAGGCTTTCCCACATTGATTACATTTATAGGGCTTCTCTCCAGTATGGATTCTCAGATGCTGAGTGAAGGAAGAATGTTGACGGAAGGCTTTCCCACATTCATTGCATATAAAAGGTTTTTCCTGTGTGAATTCTCTGATGTTGAATAAGATGTATTCTCTGGCTGAGTCTTTTCCCACATTCATCACACTTATAGGGTTTCTCTCCTGTGAGCACTGTCTGAGGTTGGGTATGAGACAAATTGTGGCTGAAACCCTTTCCACATTCACTGGGATTTTCTCCAGTATGAATATGATTAGTGAGAACACACTGATTGAAGATTTTCCCACGTTCATTATATTCATAAGGATTTTCTCTTACATAGTTTCCCTGGTAATAAATCAAGTCTGAATTATGTTTGATGCTATTTCCCGGTGTGTCATAATTAAGGGGTATTTTAATTGAAGGAACCCCCTGATGTATAATAAGGTTTGAGTTCATTTTATAGTTCTCTTCAAATTTGTTACCTTTAATGCTTCTTTCTTGTGTAATCTTTTGATGGATGAAAGATACTTGTCCCAAATGTCTCTGCTGGTTTTCTTGGTTAAATTCAAACTGATAATCAAAATCCCAGAGTCCTCCTAAGATGGAATACCAGAAACTGTCTTCTGTTAGTCTTTCCATAATGATGTCACAGGTTTGATTTTTATCAGAAGTATTCTGGTTTAGAGTTGATTTTTAAATTTTAGGTCCATTATCCTCATCTAGGTGAGCTCCCACAGGGTAGCCTCCTCCTCTCATCCACACCTCTTCCTGCTCCAGCTGAGTGATCATTGCTGGCTTATAAACCTGATGCCCCAGAGCAACCAGATTCCTGTAGTTCTCCAGCATCAGGTCTCCATAGAGGTTCTTCTGAGCAGGGTACAGCTGTTCCCACTCCTCCTTGGTGAAGTCCACAGCCACATCCTGGAATGTCAGGGATTCCTGAGACCTGACTCTGTGTGATCCATCATCCATTTCTCTCTCCTTCATGTTCCCTTCCTTTGGGTACCTGCGTTCAGGCCCCAGCAGAACTGCTACACCTCTGCAGTTCCTGTATAGCAGTGTCACCGACGCTTTGTTCTCCTCCAGCACAGCAGCTCAGTTGGAGGCGCAGCTGCACTGGCAGCCTCAGCGTCGCGGTTGGTCCTTGAGAGCTGGTTTTCCAGTCTGAATGTGGCTCCTGCCCCCAGTCATTTATATAGAGACTTTTTTCTCTGAGACTCAAATTTGTCTCCTGTCGGGGATCTCATGAGATACAATTTTAGGTTGAATACTGCCTCTGTGTCTGCCGACCCGGGGACTGGACCGCTGCCTCCCCAGTGGTGCCCGCGCTCCTCAACTTTTTTCTTATGCTGGTACAGATGTTTTGTAGACTAAGGAGAAATTGGCTTTTATGAAGATCTATTTATTTAGCAAATATTTGTTGAACTCCAATGTGCTAGGTTTTAGGGCTAATTGTACACAAAACAAATGTGTTTGTTGACTTTATAGAATTTCCCATTTAGTGGGGAAAATGGAGGTTATGCCAATAAACACAAAAATAAATATATGTGATGGTAGGTATTTTGAAGAAAAATTACATTCTGTAAGAGTAAATTAGGGATGGGGTGAGGTGCAAACTGACAAGTCAGAGAAAGGGCTCTTTGAGGAAAAAGCATCAGTAAAGCTGAGAGATGAGGATGAACAGAACATAACCATGTGGAGAGAAGAGAAAAGAGAATAATAGAGAACATGAATAGGAGGTGAGAAAGAGCTAGGCTTTGTGTGTGTGTGTGTGTGTGTGTGTGTTCGTTCCTGGAGTTTGAATTCAGGACCTTTGCCCTGAGCTACATCTCCAACACCTCTTTTCCTCATTTATTTGAGCTACATTCCTGACCTTTAAAAAAAATTTTTTTTTATATATTAATTGGTACATTTTAGGTATACAATACATCTACATTTATCATGGGGTGTTTGTACCTGAACATGATGTATCTTAGTTCTTATTTTTTCCCCCATTACCTGTGCACCCTTCACCCCCTCCACCCTTCCCTATTTACATAGACTTTGTTTCCATTTTTTTTTCTTTCTCATAATTTTTCCTTAAAAATTTTCTGAGGAATTTATAATGTTGTATTTTGCCAAGTTGCCCAGGATGAGCTTGAACCTGTGACCTTCCTGTCTCAGCCTCCCAGTGTGCTGGAATTACAGGCATGTGCCACCGCACCCAGCTAAAAGTCTGGCTTTTTGAGAAACTGAAACATTCAGATTGGCTGGAGTATGGTGAACTGCAGTCTGATAAGGTGATAGAGATCCACATGAACTTGTGGAGCTTCTTAGCAATCGTGGATTTTATGCTGAGGGCAGTGAGAAGCTACTGAAAGTGAGTGGAGCAAGTGTTGTGACCTCAGTGTATTTTGAGAAGATCATTTTGGCTGTTGATTGAGTGGCAGTAAAAGCAGATATTAGGAGAAAATTAGGAGGGGGTTTCAGTTGATGGCTAGTGTGATGGTACTGGAAGTAGAATAAAATGGATTGTAAAATAAAGGATAAGTAGGAGTTGGTGATGAATTGACTGTATAGCTGAAAAAATCTTTTCATCTGATCTGTTCGCTAGATCAATAGTAAACATTTTGTAGGTATTGAAGATTTATCAATATTTATTGCTGTAATTTTGGAAATTTTTCTTAATTATGAAAATTCTTACTCAGTAGTAGAGACAAGTATACCAAAAAGCATTAGTTCTCAAGATTGTCACAGTTGCTTCATTCATCTTTTTAAAGTATTTTAAAGTAAATCCTAGGTACTATGTCTTTACCCTCATATCCTTTAGAATGAATCTCTAGAAACATGTACATTTTCTAATGTAGAAATGATTATTTTATTGTTATACCTAATTTAAAAATCTTTAGTATATAATAATAGTGTTTTGAATTACGTAAATGATGCTGTTCCTCTACTAAACCAATGTTTGGCTGTTGTTGAAGGCCAGACTCTTGAGGAACGTGGCATTTGGGTCCCACTACAGCAGAGCCTCTGGTGCTCACTTCAGCAACACATGTACAGCACAACCACTGGCACCGCACTCATCCATCTCCTGAATACTTCACCTCATATTTATCACCTCTAGCCCCACTCTATGCCATGGGGCATGCTTAAGCAGCACTTTACCTACCATGTCTTGTTTTCACTGAAGTGGCTCACCTTCCTTCATCTTTTTTTGGTAAAAATTCTCCCTATCCTTTAAGGTCCAGAACTATACTGCACTACAACAGTCTTACAGTATATGGGTGATCATGGTAACATCTATCTCTGCTAGACTTTAAACTCTAGAAAGAGATCTTAGGTTCATTCATTTGTCCACTCATTACTTATTTATGGTAGTGGAGGTCAAATCCAGGCATTTACACTGAAGTATGTACAACCCTTTTTGAGTTGGATCTTGCTAAATTGTCCGGGGTGGGCTTGAACTTGCACTTCTACTTTAGCCTCTCAGCATGCTGGGATTACAGGCATGTACCACCATGCCCTACTGCTCATACTAATTGTTTAGTAAAGTTTATTGAATTTTTCTAATTTGGAAGCTTTATTGTCTTTCCCTTTTTATTTGAGTTAAAAATTCATGAAAAATACGAGAATTGGAGATTCTTAAAGTTATATATCCTGTTCCCTATGTGATCTGAAGTGAGAGATTAGTGTGATATTGGCTTATAATTACTGTTTGGATTTTAAATATGCTTTATACTTATTTTCTTTTATGATTTAAAAAGCTGTTAAGAACCTGTTCTCTGATACTCTTTTTGCTCCCTCCTTCAAGAACAACCATAATATAGATTGTTATATTAACTAATTTTAGCAAACTAGAAGTTGAAATATCTTTATGTAATTTTTCTTTTCAGTGCACACGATACTCCCAAGCAGCCAGTGGTGCGTTTCAAAAGGAATAAACATCATAAAGGATCCATTTACTGTGTGGCCTGGAGTCCTTGTGGACAGTTATTAGCAACAGGATCAAATGACAAATATGTCAAAGTGCTGCCCTTCAATGCAGAGACTTGTAATGCAACAGGTAGGGCCCAAGTACTGTATATAAGCAGTAGCTATCCTGGCAGTGTATATATTATACCTTCCCCATATTGTACCTCTCTATTGTCTTTAATGAAATCTCAAAATAAAATCTTAAAGGTCTTTTTGTTGTTTTCTGTACAGTTTGATTGTTTAGTAAATTCCTATAGATAGCCAGATGGTATGGTACCTGAACTTCAGAAGAGTATTATCAGAAAAATAACCTTTAGTGGCTGAAAATATAGCTCAGTGGTAGAGTGTATTTGCTTAGCATTCTCAAAGCCCTGGGTTCAATCCTCAGCACCACAAAAAACAAAACAAAATGAAACCCTTATCATAACTACTGGGATTGTGTTAATAGAGTATTTTCTAGAGAGTATCTGTCTTCTGTTTCTTTTTCTTTGAAAAAAAAAGACAAAAACATATAGCTCTCCTTTAGGGATTGTAATAACTGAATTTGTATTTTGATTTCCTTAAATTCTGTGCCCTAAGTAAAGTGAAGTTGATTTTAATAATCTCTAAGTGAAAATATAAACCATGCTATTGTAGTATTATTCTTGGCCAGTTTTGAAGCAATTAAGCAATCTCAGGTTGAGCACATCTTTTTTTTTTTTTTTTCAAATTCTTACTGCTGTTTCAGGACCAGATCTGGAGTTTAGTATGCATGATGGGACAATTAGAGACTTGGCATTTATGGAAGGTCCAGAAAGTGGTGGAGCTATTTTAATAAGCGCTGGAGCAGGGGATTGTAACATTTATACAACAGATTGTCAAAGAGGACAAGGTCTCCACGCTCTGAGTGGACATACTGGTATGTAAATCAGTCTCAAGTGGTATTTTTGGTATTGTTTAGATGGTGCTTTCCCCCCTCCATTTGTTTTGATAAATGGATTTATTCCATCAAAGTGGATCATTTCAAGAAAAATTTTTATTTCAAAAATTTGAATTGTGAACTTTGGATAACAACACAGTAACAATAACTAACATTGATATTTCTCTTTGTATTCAGTTCCTTTATGTATACATATAACTCTTTAATCTTCACAAACGTGATGTAGGAAGTTTTACCTCTTCTAATACATGAAGAAAGTATGGCTGAAAGGGTAAAATAATTTGCTCAATGTTATAAGGCTAGTAAATAACAGACATGATTCCAGGTCTGTCTTTTCCAAAGCTGATAATGTAACTCCACAAAATAGTTTTTCCTGTATTTCCTCCATAGGAAAGTTGCCACAATTATCATTTCAAATGATAATTTTTTTCAGTACTAATTTTTGGTGTCCCGACATACAGAAAGAGCCTGTTGTGCTAATGGAGTCACCAAAGATTTTTTTTGTTCAATTATATTTTTTGTTGTTGTTGTTTTTCTTTGTTTTGTAAATTTTGTATTTGAGTATAGTTTTGGTGTTGTGCATTTTGCTTAATTTTAATTGTTAATCTATTTGGTACCTGTAGAAGATCTCTAACAGTATATATTTGATCTATCAGACAGTCATTTTCCTAGTGATGAGAAGTACTTAGATTTGGACATGTTGTGGAAAGGTACTTTTCCCACAGCAATAATTGAGTATGTGATCATTTGTAGGGCATATTTTAGCACTTTACACCTGGAGTGGTTGGATGATTGCATCTGGTTCTCAAGATAAGACTGTTAGATTCTGGGATCTTCGAGTACCAAGCTGTGTTCGAGTTGTTGGCACAACATTCCATGGAACTGGTAGGTTTTCCCTTATTTTAAGTGAACTTATGTGAAAAAGAAACTATAAATCACACTAGCCTACTTGTTTCTCCTGTAATGTAGTATATGTGCTGCTGAAGCAAGCACCCTCCTGCAATATAAAGAAAATAGAAACAATGAAATAAATACTTGGCATTTTGTTGATTACTTCTAATTCTGTCAAAACACTTTCATCGGTTAGGTTATTTATAGAAATTTAGTTTAGGAAACCAAGGTCCAAGGTGATTAAATATTATGTCCCCAAACCTGTTAACAGGACAACTTTAAAACTCAAAACTTAAAAAATTTTTTTTTAAATGATGCACATGGCAAAAATTGAAAATGAACAAAAGAGTATACTGTTTTCTTTTTGCTCCTATTCCTTGGTTTCTTTCCCTAAAGGAATAGTTTCTTATTTATTCTTCTAGAAATGTTCTGTAGATACTGAACCAGAAAGTTTGTAGATAACGTAATCTCCCTTCTGTAAATGCACATACATATGGACACACAGATGGTAGCATGTAATACAAATTGTGCTTTTCAAACTCAGCAGTTATCTTGGATGGTTTTGTGTAAACTCAGGCTATATCACCTTTTATATCACCTTTTAAAACACTGATATCTAAAAATAAATAAATAAATAAATAAATAAAACACTGATATCTAAGAGTGACATGGTTTTCTGTAATTGTCTTTATTGTACTTTAGTCTGAATCTTTTTTTTTTTTTCGGTACTGGGGATCAAACTCAGGACCTTCCGCTTGCGAGGCAGGTGGAGGAACCACTGAGCTAAATTCCTGGCCCGTCTTTATTGTACTTTAGAATGCCTTTCTGCCTTCGTAGTTTTTGAATTTTTTTTTTTTTTTTTTGGTACCAGGGATCGAACTCGGGTCCTTGCGCTTGCGGAGCAGGCGGCGAAACCACCGAGCTAAATCCCCAGCCCTTGCCTTCGTAGTTTTTAATAGGCTGCTTTATTTTTTTTTTTTTTGGCTTTACATTTTTTGATAGGTATGTTTAGATGTCTTGTTTATTTTTTGACTTTCATGAACCTTTTTCTATACTTCCATTCAAATGAGATATGATTTGCTACAGCAAATTCGAATCGAATAAAAACAGATGTATGATTATTATTTGTGTGTGTGAATATGTGATCATTGGTAGTGTAGTTTGTATTGTTAGCAGAATAAATATATAACACGGTTTCAAGAATCAAACAGCTCTGTAGGGCTTATTAAGAAAAACAGCGTGGGGGTGGTGGTGGATATAGCCTAATGATTTAGCACTTGTGCAAGGCCCTGGTTTCAATCCTCAGCACTGCAAAAAAAGAAAGAAAGAAAGAAAAGAAAGGAAGGAAGGAAGAAAAGGAAAACAGCAATGCCCTTGGAATTGGCTCTTACCTTTCAACTTCTATTTTGTTTCCTATTTCTTAGAGGCAGTCATTTTTAACATTTATAGCATTTTTCTTTTCTTTCTTTTTTGGTACCAGGGATTGAACTCAGGACCTCACACTTGCCAGGCAGGCATGGTGCCAGTGAGCTAGATCCCTGGCCCTAGCATTTTTATTTTGGGTATTTATTTCCATATTTCTAAATAGCAGAATTATAATCATAAGCTTTTAGGGTTATTTCTTGACTTCTTACCATAAAGTATAAAGATGTCGTATCCCTTTCCAACACTCATCATCCTTTTCTTTCATACATTCTTTTCCTCTACATCTTTTCATTATAGTTATATCAATTTTGGTTAAATTATTATTTATTGTTTATATACTTTAACTAGGTAAATGCTATACATTGTTTTTGCATATTATTTTGTTTTCCTTGGTGTTAGTGATTATATTTTTGCTTCATTTGCTTAGTTTCTATGAACTTACTACTAATTTATCTCCAATTTATTCCATTGTCTAGATTATTTTCATGCCTTTTTTCTTCATTTCAGACTTTTTCTTTCTCTCCCTTCTCTTACAGCATTGTCTTCTTCCTTACGGGATCTCTCTTCTTTACTTCTTTCCATATACATACAAAAATTTTATAAAATTAGCAATGCCGAAAGTTTCTGTTATAATGTTCTCATACCCTTCCCAGCTCTCATCCTAATTTTTGCTCCCTTTTCATACGTGGTTATCTCAGAAGACTTGCCCATATCTACTGTTACCCATTTTCTTACCCCCTTAGTCACCTTTTGATTATTAATTAATTAATTTTTGCAAAACTGGGGAATGAACCTTTGCAATGAACTACATTCCCAGACTTTTTAATTTTTTATTTTGAGACAAGATCTTGCTTAGTTTCCAGGTTGGGCACAAACTTATGATCTTCTGCTCTCCTGGAATTCTGGGATTATAGCCAGAATATAGTTTGGTATAGTCTGGCTCTTACCCTCATTCTTTAACGTACTCCACATTGGTTCTTGCCACAACCATGCTGACAAATGCTGTCTTTTTCAGGATCCACCAGCAAACTTCATCTTGTCAAATCATTATATCCTCATTTTATTTCCATTCTCAGTGGCACAGAACCACAGTTTACCTTTCCAGTTTTCTTTTGGGCTTTCCACTCTTCTCTTACTTTTTTGGATAACTACTTCACTGGCTCTTCTTCCTCTGCTCAACCTCTAACTTTTGACATTCCCTGTGGCTCCAGATTTTCATCTTTATTCTTTCTCTAGATGATTGGATCCATAGCCTGGCTTTAAGTATAACTCATATGCTGAAAGACCTTACATTTTTTTTATGTCTACTCCAAACCTATTCTGCATGCCAGACTTTTAATTCTAACTCTACTTGACCTCTCCTTTTGGATATTATATAAGATATTCATACTTAAACAAAAGTATTAATTTATAACTTCTCCCCCAAACAAAACTTCCCCTTGGGCCTGGGATTTAGCTCAGTGGTTCCGCTGCTTGCCTCTCACAAGGACCCGAGTTCGATCCCCAGTACTGAAAAAAAAAACAAAACCTGCCCCTAAGAGGTACCACCCACCCACACCACATGCCAGACATCCTGGAGTCTTCCTGTTTCCTTCTCTCCGTCCCTCCAATATCCAATCCATGAATAAATACTGTTGTTTCAGCCTCAAAAATATATCTAAAATTACGATAGTCAGCTTTCTATCACTATAACAAATACCTGAGATAAAACACCTTATAAAAAGAAAAGGTTATCCAGGTATGGTGGCATATGTCTGCAAGTCCAACACTCTGGGAGACTGGCACAATTACAAGACTGAGTCCACTATAGGCAATTTAGTGAGACCCTGTCTCAGAATTTTAAAATGGGGCTAGAGATAGCTCAGTGCAGAAGCCTTAGGTTCAATCTCCAGTATCGAAGGGGCAGAAGGGTATTTATTTTGGCTTACAATTTTAGAAGTCCTTGGATAATTAGCCTTGCTTTGGGCCTGTGGAGAGGCAGTACATCATGTTGGAAGCATATGGTGAAGCAAAATCCCCACCTCATGGCCAGGGAGTAAAAAGAGAGGGAAGGGCCTAGGGTTTCACTGTTCCCTTCAGGGGTACCCCAGTGACCTGCACATCTCCTCTTTTTTTTTTTCTTTTGCATTCTGGGGATTGAACCCAGGGATGCTCTACCACTGAACTACATTCCCCAGCCTTTTTTATGTTTTGTTTTGAAGCAGGGTCTCCCTAAGCTGCCAGGTAGAACTTGAACTTTTTGATTCTCCTCCTTCAGTTTCTCTCATAGGCAGCACCCTATACCTGGTTGGGCCTCACCTCTTAAAAGTCTCCACCTCTCAATAGCACCATGAGCTAGGGGCGAGCCTCTAACACATGGATCTTTGGGGAGACTCTTATACAAACTATAGCATAAACCCTTGAACTTTGTTTTCTTCTTGCTACCGCTCTAGGATTAACCTCCACTGTCTCTCAACTGAACTACTGCAATAACTTCCTTATTCTGCTCTACTCTGATTTTTCCTTCTTTTGTCTCTGATCCATACGGCAGTCAAAAGACTGACCCCTCCCTTTCTCTCCTGTCCTTCCTGTCTGTTTGTAATTCATGCTGAGGATTGAACCAGGGTCTTGTACAATGCTTGGGAAGTCCTCTACCATTGAGCTACATCCCCAGGCCTAGAGTACGTTTTTTTGTAGTATTCAGGATTGAACCCAGAGCCTTCACACTGAGATTACATTATAGCTCATTTTAAAATTTTTTGAAACAGGGCCTTGCTAGGTTGCATAGGGTCAACTTGATTTTATAATCCTTCTGCCTCAGGCTCCCAGAATGTTGGAATTGCAGGCATGTAGCACCAGGCCTAGCTATAGAGAACATTAAAAAACAAAACAAAGCAAATCTAATTACATCACACCTTGCTTAGAAGACATCGATGACTTTTCATTTCTCTTAATGTAAAGTGCAGAGTCTTGATGATGACCTAAGAGACCCTGCTTGATCTGGCTATGTACACCCTTTGGTCTCATCTCAGATCACTTGCTTTTTTTCCTTTAAGTTTCTAGAACGTGCCAGGCTGTTCCCATGAATTCACATGCTGTTTCTACAGCCTAAAATTCCTCTTGTCTTCTCTTGGTTAGGTCCTTCTTATCTTTAAGTCTCATCTTCAGTATCAACTTGCTAACATAAGCAGTCTTTTTTTACTTTGGACCTCACCATTATTTTCAATCCCTGAACTCTTACCACTATTTAAAATTATGCTTACTTTCTTATAACTTATCTCCTTCATTAGAAATAAGTTGTACCAAAGCAGCAGTGCTGTATTTTATTTTCCAGAGTAGGTGAAACATCAAGGGAATAGTGATCCAGTCATGTTGAACAAATGACCCTGGATTTCTGTTGACACCATAAACTTTGCATGTATAAAAGTAATCATGGTATATTTCTCTTGTGAGTCAGCTCCCCTAATCTTGCCTAATTTTGACAATGGTTCTCTCATGTTCTCAAGCAACAATTAAGTAGACAAAAGACATCTTTTTTTTTTTTTTTTGGTACCGGGGATTGAACTCGGGTCCTTGTGGTTGCAAGGCAGGCGGTAGAACCACTGAGCTAAATCCCCAGCCCCAAAAGACATCTTGAATGACTACTGGAAGGTCTATTGAATGATTATGTAGAAGAGTCTTTTGACATCTGGGACTTGTTTTTACTTGCTTTTTTTGCCCCTCCCCAGACAAGTAATTCCCAAGGTTTTTAATCCTTTAATTTTTCCCACTGGACTCTGTCAGACTCATTCAGGCCCTCATTCTCTCATTATTCTTTCTGGTCTTCCAGTGGTTTCCCTTCTTCTATAATCTTTCCATTTAATTTGATATATGTTTTCACTATGATTAACCTGCCCAAAATTCTGCTTGGATCATGTCATTCTGTTAGAAACATGCAGTGATGCTGTAATTTGGAATTCAAGGTGATGATGATCTGGCCCTAACCTGCCTTTTATATCTCAGCTTCGAGCTGCCTTTTATGTTAACTTTTATCAAACCAAGATGCTCTAGCCAGACTACCTGAGCTACTTGCTTTTAAGCTTTTTTATACTTTTACTCTAAACATTTTCTCATGTAATTCTTCCTGATCATAATAGTCTTCCTTTTTCCTCTATCAAAATTTCGAAAAAGGATTATTTTAAATTACATAGATATGTTTGTGTTATTTACGCTGGTCATTGCTTTACAAGATATAACTCATGTCCCTTTCTTTTGTGAAGTCTTTCCAGGCTACTTTGTCTTTGTTTGTTTGTTTTTATTTTTTGAGACAGGGTTTTGCCGTGTAACTGATGCTGGCCTCAAATTCATGGCAGTCCTCCTGTTCAGCCTCTCCAGTGCTAGGATTACAGGTGTGCACCACCATGCCTGGCTCCCGACTACTTTGGTGTAAAGCAGTGTTCTTCAACCTTATTTTTATAATTGACCTCCCATAAGGAGAAAAGTAGATTTTTTTCCTAACAAGAAAAATTAAAGGCTAAGGAATAAGATTTTGTTAGAGTTGAACTTTGGAAGGCCCACAAACTATTGTTAATGTTTAGGAATTTATCACACCCTGCCTCCCAAGAAAAATTTTGTGTCTCTTTGGGGTGATAAACACCCCCATTGAGAATGCATGGTAGGGTTAGAGCTCTAGCCTTCAGACTCAGAACTTATTTTCACCTTGTTTATAGTAAATCATGGGTTGCTTTAGGACATTTCCTATTTTATTGTTCCAAAGCATAATTTGTTACTGAATTTTCTTTTTCCTCAGCTAGGCTCTAAGCTGTACCCTTAACCCAGGAGTGAAAACACTGGATTGGTATTGCTCATCTATCACACTATTGATTATGCTGTTCTAGGGGTTCTTTCAAATGACAAAACATGGACTTCTTATTCCTTACAGAATCTTGCTTTATCCTTGTCTCAAGAAAGAACAGTGTTTATTGACTGATGGTTAATTTGGAGTTTTTCATAGCTGATCAGTGTTGATAAACTACATTAAATTGTTAGTGTATGGCTTGTATACTTGGCTTTGTTGCAGTTTAGGTATATTGATTTTCTACACTGAAACTTTCATTCTCCCACTACAGGCAGTGCAGTGGCATCTGTAGCTGTAGATCCCAGTGGCCGTCTCTTAGCCACAGGCCAAGAAGATTCTAGCTGCATGTTGTATGACATAAGAGGAGGAAGAATGGTACAGAATTATCACCCTCATTCCAGTGATGTTCGTTCTGTTCGATTCTCTCCTGGAGCTCACTACTTGCTAACAGGCTCTTATGATATGAAAATAAAGGTGACAGACCTACAAGGTGACTGAGATTGACTTCCCTCTTCATTTTTACTCTCTCCTATTCTATTTGGGGTCTTTCTTTTTTGTTAGTCTGGTGTGGTTGACTATATCACATTTTAAAATATAGTTTTACAGTATTTAGTAGGAAGATTACTGAGAATGCACTAAGAGATGTTATAGAAAATTATTAAGTAAATAGTAAATCTTATTTTTTGGTACCGGGGATCAAACTCAGGACCTTGTGCTTGCGAGGCAGTCAGTGGAACCACTGAGCTAAATCCCTGGCCCAAATCTTATTTTTATTGTTAATTTATTACAATAAGTGCTCGCTTCGGCAGCACCTATACTAAAATTTATTACAATGAATCATTCTCAGATAAATGATGAATTTATGTATACATTCGTACTAGCTTCTTGAAAAAGAAAGTAGTATTGAATTTTATTTGTAAATATTCCTTAAGCAAATATTTATTGTATTGTATAGCAACTAGGCACAGATAGAAAGATGAACAAAACAGTTTACTCCTTCCTTGATGGAGCTTATATTTTAGAGTAAACCAATAAACTGTGTAATTTTAGGTATTAGCCTGTGCTCTTAAAAATTTGCCATGGTAGGAGATAGTGACTGGGGTGTGTAGCTGAAGGCATTTTTTTTTTGTACCAGGAATCAAACTCAGGACCTTGTGCTTGCCAGGCAGGCGTGGTGCCACTGAGCTAAATCCCTAGCCTTGAAGGGTATTTTAGATTGGATAGTTAGATTTGGCCTCTCCAGGGAAAGCCATTTGTACAGAGCCTTAAATGATAAGGAACAAGCCATGCCAGGACCCTAGAGAAGAGCATAACAAGTATAAAGATGCTGAGGTAGGAGCAAAACTTGTATAGTCATGAAAATGCAAGAAGCCAAGGTGGCTGGAACTTACTGAACCAAGGGCAAAAGACAGAAGACTAAATTTAGGGAGAAGGGAACAGGAATTAATGATGATTCCCAGGTTCCTGGCATGAGCAAGACAGCACCATTGGTTGAGATGAGGAAAATAGGTGGGGGAGGAACAGAGTTGGGCAGGAAAAGCAAGAGTTTTGTTTTAGACAAGTTACACTTAAGATAACCATCAGGCATTCAAATGAGGTATCGAATGACTGTGTGGATACTAGCTTGGATCTCAGTAGAGAAGTCAAAGTTGGAGAAAAAAAAAGGGGATGAATTATAAGTCTGTAAGTGGCCAAAGTACAAAATGAAGATTCAGACAAAGTGTGGTACATAGGGAACAGCAAAAATCTGAGGCTGACTCACTGGAATTCAGTAAACTTTAAGTCAGGAGGCAAAGGGAAACCAACAAAGGAGACCAAGATGGAGTGGCACTGGACTCAGGGAGAAATCAAGTGGAGAGAGTTTCCCTGAGAGTGGCCGCTGTGTCAGATGTTACCATGTGATTGCTGTCTATGTTACCAAATTCTACTAGAATGATCTATCCCTGTGTAAACCTTTCATGGTAGTACCTTAAAGTAACAAGAAGTCTGTAAAATCCCTGCATATTCTTTGTCTTGTAAATGAACAGTCTCTTTTCTTTTCTAATTTAGGGGACCTCACTAAGCAGCTTCCTATCATGGTGGTGGGTGAGCACAAGGACAAGGTGATTCAGTGCAGGTGGCATACCCAGGATCTTTCCTTCCTGTCGTCTTCTGCAGACAGAACTGTAACGCTCTGGACTTACAGTGGCTAGAGTGCATCTTGTGTCCGTCTGTGCAGTGAGAGCACAGAGATTTAAGACTACTGAAGTGTCTACTACGAATCTGAAGAACATAGACTGTCCGAGAGGTGGTTCAGCAGGAAGAGGCCCCTTCCTCTCATGTATGCCATTGATAGGAGGTGTTGGGTGGTGGTACTCTGCAGTGCTTTCAGTCTTCCATGTGTGCTCGTGCTGCTGTGACCTGCTGTGTAGTCTCCCTGCCAAAGTGTGTGGAAGAGCTCTTGTGTTGCTGGTGGGTGTGCGCACCAAGTCCAGTGGACCGTGTGTTTACGGTTTAGTATTAAATGCACTCCTTGGTCTCTGCCTAAATAACAGTTTCATATACACACTGAAACTGAATTATACTTTGGCTCTTATTACATAGAATACAACCAAGTTCTTTCTAGATTAAACATAAGTGTCCAGAAATTACTTTGCTCTTCTCACAATTCCCTATTATATCATTTGTCTTATAGAGGTCAAGATTTGATCCATTTCTCAAAATTTACAGCGTTGTTTTCACATAAGGATCATTATGGAATTAAAAGGTGAATGGGAAACTGCTTCTTAGTTCATTACATGGCACAGCCCCTCTCTTTTTCCTTAAACTCAAGGGTGTGGTTACTATTTTGTAATATGGTTTTGTTTCAGGCTAGAAGGTCAATGTGTTTCCGTCAGAAACTTGTTAACTTCAAAATTTTTTGAATGCAACAGATACCTCCCTTCTAAACAGAACTGCAGAAGCAGGGCAGCAGCAGTTATGTGATGCAATATTTGATGGTCCAGTTTTCCTCTTAAAATTAAAGACTGCCATGGACCATAGCATGGCTTGAATGCTATGTCTGCATGATAATTTAAAATGGAAAATTTAAACTTTGCACTCCAAAAGCTTATTTAAATTTTTTTCTTGCACTGTTTTGTGTAATGCAGAATGATTTTATTTCTATGGCATTAATAGAGCTTAACATTTATGTATCTTTATTTTCATACGGTATAGTAATTTTACTTTAAATTATTAAATAGACTATTTTATTTATTTCAACTGCAATTGTTTTCTAATTTTTGAACTGTCTGTATACTGTATGTAGCAAGCATTTTTAGTCTTGTACACAAGTGGAAAGGGTTTTAGAAATGTAACTGTGCTTTTATTTCAATAAAGACCTCTTGACACCTAAGACTATATCTGTTCCTCAGAGTCTATGTTTTCAGTTTAGAATGTGATTTTTCCACTTTACTTGGAGGAAGTGGATCCAGTGGATGAGTCCCATAATCAGTTTCTCCCTAAAGTTTTTTGGGTACTTTTCTTTTTAATTCTTGCCAACTGAATAACTTTGTGTCCCCTCCCCCTCCTCTGTGTCTCTGTCTCTGTCACTTTCTCTGTCTCTGTATGTGTGTCTCCCTTTTTTTTTTTCCATTAAGTTTATTGGTACATTTTAGGTATAAAATACAGTAACATTCATCATTGGGATCTTGTACCTTTACATGATGTATCTTGGTTCTTACTTTTTTCCCTTCCCTGGCCCTCCCTTCACCCCCTCCACTCTTCCCTGTTTACAAAGACTTTGTTTCCATTTTTTTCCTTGTCTCGTATTTTTTCTTTTCCCTTCTTTTTCTTTCCCCTACCCCTCCCACTTCCCCTACTCCTTTAGACCTTTTCTTTCTATTTCACAATATCAGTAATACATTTTTATTCTTATTTACACTTTGTTTTTCACACCAGAAAAACTATTTGGTATTTACATGTGTGTCCTATTTATTTCACTTAAGAGTATGGCCTCAATGTGCAGCCACTTATCTATAAATGTGTCTAGTTTCTTGTTCTTTATGGCTGAGTAGTACTCCATTTTATTTTAAAAAACCCCCACATTTTCTTTATCCAGTCTCCAGTTGATGGGCAATTGGGCTGTTTCCAAGTTTTAGCTATTACAAACTGTGTTGCTATAAACATGGGTGAGTATATATCACTGTGGTATGATTCTTTTTAATTCTTTTGGGAAGATACCCACCAGGGGAATAGCTGGGTCAAATGGGACTTCCAGTCCTAGTTGTTTGAGGCATCTCCATGTTGATTTCCACAGTGGTTGTGTGTGTGCATATGTCTCTCTCTCTCTTCTCTGTCTCTTTCTGCGACTAGGGATGTAATTGATGGGCTTGCATGTGCCAGGCAAGCACTCTACCTGTGCGCTCCACCCCTAGCCTCTGCCAGGCGTTTACTACTTAAAAATCACACTATAGCCTGGGGATGTAGCTGAGTGGAAGAGTTCTTGCTGAGCGCACACAAGACCCTGGGTTTGATCCTTGGCACCACAAAATAAAGACAAGTTGCAAAATGTATAAAATCTAACCCAGACTCACATTGTGTTGAATTGATGGTTCAACATAGAAAATCTAGTTGGCTTTTTGGTGTTCCTTGTCTCCACATGGGGGTGTGTGTATGTTACTGGAGTCTGAACTGCGCTACCTCTCCGGGCTTTTGCACTGAGGTACTGTGCTTTCTAAAATTTGGGGATGAGGTGTTGCTAAATTGCCCAGGGTGGGCTCAAACTTGTGATCTTCCCTCCAGAGTTCTGGGGTTACAGTCTAGCTTGTCCATTTGTTTTTTAGTTGTTTTTTTTTAATCTCTCAGGCAAGCAGAAGAGAATTCTGTGAAAAGTAGAACAGTTTACACTCATGCTTAGTTTCACATATTTTAAATATAGCAGGTAATTTGAATTAAGTTTAAAACTGGGTGCTGGGCATGGTAGCACATGCCTGTAATCCCACCACTCAGGAGGCTGAGGCAGGAGGATTGCTGTAAGTTCAAGGTCAGCCTGGGCTCCACAGTGAGTTCAAGGCCACCCTGCATGAGATCCTGTCTCAAAACAAACAAAAAAACACTGAAAAAACAAAACAAAAACTGAGAGAAAGGGCAATTTCTTTTTTTTTTTTAATTGATTTCATTTTTATTTTTGACAAAAATAAGACACTGCTTTTTTCCCCAAAATCAAACTTTCAGTGTTCCTGAACATCAAATGATTTTGTCTAAACCAAGTGGAAATAATTTTTCTTTCAGGAAATCAAAAACATTTAAGGAATCCAGAATTTTCTCACCATTGTATATAGAATGATATTTGAGACACAAAGTAGTTAAGTCCTGTATCAGTTGGCCTTGAGGATTCCTAGGGTTTGTTTCCATTTATCTTTGTACTGGCCACAGAAGTCCCCATGTAGAAGATGACAATTAATGAAACTTTTTTTAGTAGTACATGTTTGCGAAATACAATGAATGCATTCAGTTTGGGTAGTTAGTACATATATATACTCCATCTTAGACCTTTTTACTTTCCCTTCCCCTCTCCTTCCTCACCTCATCCTTTATCCATAGATACCCTTCACATCTGCAAAAGGTCTACCTACCTCTTTCTTATTATTTTGCTCTTATACTTTGGGCTGCCTGCCGCACAAGCACAAGGACCCGAGTTCGATCCGCGGTACCAAAAAAAAAAAAAAAACTTATACTTTGGGGTTTTTTTCCCATTGAGTTTACTGGTACATTTTAGGTATACAATACAGTTACATTCATTGTTGGGATCTTGTACCTTTACATGATGCATCTTGGTTCTTATTTTTTCCCCATTCCCCTCCCCCTCCTTCACCCCCTCCACCCTTCCCTATTTACAGAGACTTTGTTTCCATTTTTTTTCCTTTTCTCATATTTTTTCTTTCTTTTTTTTTTTCTTTTCCCTTTCCTCTACTACTTCCCTTTGGGTTTCTCATATTAGAGAAAGTACATGATATTTAATCTGTGTCTAATTTATTTTGCTTAGTGTTATGGTCTCACGGTGCACTCATTTTCCTACAAATGACTCAAATTTATCCTTTATGGCTGAGTGGTACTTCAGTGTGTGCGTGTGTGTGTGTGTGTGTGTGTGTGTGTGTGTGTATTTTCTTTATCCTTTCATCTGTTGGTGGATATATAATCCTCCTTTGTTCAGGAATTGACCAGTTCTTCCACCCTGATGTGCTTCACCCTTGCCTGGGGCAGCCCAGGGGGAAGCATTGCACAACGTGAACATTAGAACCCAAAGCAAGTCCATCATCAGCTGCAGGAGATTCCTGAAGGGAGCGCTGAGTGGGCGTCTCTGCAACTCGGACAGCCCACTTCTTGCTCTGCACTGAGACATCCATCCCCTTCCCCCTCTTCCAGAGCAGATTTTTCATGGTTCTTGTGAGGAGTTTTTTTTAAAATTTAATTTTATTGGTACATTTTAGGTATACAATATAATGACATTCATCATTGGAAATTTGCACCTTTACATAATCTCTCTTTGTTCTTATTTTTCCCCCTTCCCCTGCCCTCCCTTCAACCCCTCCATCCTTCCCTATTTACAAAGACTTCATTTCCATTTTTTCATTTTCTCATATTCCATTGTGTGGAGTTTTTCTAAGGGGAAATTTACTGTTTATTATTAAGAATATTACACAGGATAGAGACAAAGAGGCTTGGACTTTCTCTGGGCCATACCACCTCCAGGAACCTGTGTTCAGCTGCCTGTAAGTTCCAAGCCAATTAATTTCCCTCTCTCCTTCGCTTCCAAACTCCTTCCTCTTTCCTTCCTTCCTTCCTCTCACAAAAACTGTACACATTTGTGGGGTACCATGTGATCTTTTCCAATACATATGTACATTGTATATGTTCAAATCATGGTAAGTATCTCAAATATTTGTGGTGAAACATTAAAAATCCTTTCTGGGTTTGTTTTTTTTTGGTACCGGGGATTGAACTTGGGTCCTTGCGCTTGCGCAGCAGGCAGCGAAACCACTGAGCTAAATCCCTGGCCCCTCTGTTTTTTAAAATATATAGTACTTTATCATTATTGATAGCTATCCTATTATTATGGATACTCATAATAGAATACAGAACTTATTTCTCCTATCTGGCTATAACTCAGGACAATTCATTAATACAGACCAGTCACCTTTATGGTAAAAGTTTATAGCACTAGGAGTGTGGCTCGGTGGTAGAGTCCTTGTCTGGCATACGGAAGGTCCAGGGTTTGATTGCCATCACTACAAAAAAAAAAGTTCATAAAAGTATGTATTCTACCTTCATCGCTGTCAGGAAGAAAACTTTTTAAATCCTAATTTGGATATGGCAGTACACTCCTATAATCCCAGCTGCTTAGGAGTCTGAGGCAGAATTACAAGTTCGAGTCCAACCTGGGCAATTTAGTGAGACTCTATCTCAAAGTTTAAAACAACTAGGCTATAACAATGGTAGAGTGGTTGCCTAGCATGCTTGTGGCCCTAGGTTCAATTCCCTGTACTGGGGGAGGGGGTGTGTGTCCCCCTCTGAATTATAAGATTCATTTCTTTTTTTTTTTTTTTTTTTGGTACCAGGGATCGAACTCGGGTCCTTGTGCTTGTGCAGCAGGCTGCAAAACCACTGAGCTAAATCCCTGACCCTAAGATTCATTTCTTTCGTTGCAGTATATTAAAGTGTCAGAAATTGTTTTATTTCAATAAATGTCTGGATCCATATGTCCATTTTCCATGCCTCTGCACTGCAGAAGCATGGGTGTAAATGGATTTTTAAAAGTTCATACATAAAATAAGAACACAAAAACAAAAGGTTCACACACAAAAAGAAAATGAGAGGACTGAAGTATTTGTTTTCTGAGCCCTCAATTGGGGATGTGAATACAGAGATTGGGGTAGAAGGCAGTGCAGCCATTCTTTTTTTTTTTTTTGGTACCGGGGATGGAACTTGGGTCCTTGCGCTTGCAAGGCAGGCAATTCTTAATGCAAGCAGGACCTTCAGAGGACTGATTCAATTTTCCTCTCTGTTTTTATTTTATTTTTCTCAAATTTTGTTTTTTAAAATATTTAACTGTCTTTTAAAAATTGTAATGTGGAAGGGCATAATCAACAGAGTGAAAAAGCAACCCATGAAATGGGAAGCAATATTGGCAAATTCTACCTGATAAGGGGTTAGTATCCAGGATATATAGAGAATTCCTAAAATACAACATTAAAAAAATACTAATTAAAAATGTCCAAAGGTCTTAGACATTGCCCCTAAGAAGATCACAAATGGCAATAAGCACATGAAAAGCTGTTTGACTGGGTGCAAGGCATCCGTTTGAATTTCAGCTACTCAGAAGGCAGCCCAGGAATTCGAGGCCAAATCGAGCACATAGTAAGACCCTGTTTTTTTGTGGGATGAGCGAGGAAAAGGGGAGGGGGAGAGAGAGCTCAATATCATTCATCATTAGAGAAATACAAATCAAAATCACTTCTATCAAAAAGTAAGTGTCAGGGGCCGGGGATTTAGCTCAGTGGTTCTGGCACCTGCCTCGCAAGAGCAAGGTCCTGAGTTCGATCCCTGGTACCAAAAAGAAAAAAGTGTCAGGATGGGGGGGACCCTCAAACAGTGTTGGGAATGTAAAACGGTGCAGCCTCCATGGAAAGCAATAAAGTGGTTTCTCAAAAAATTGAATTACCATGATTCAGCAATCCCACTTCTGAGTATACACTCGAATGAACTGAAAGCAGGGCACCCAGGGCACCCATAAATATTTGTACATATGTGGAGAGTGGTGTTAGCCATAGAGGCTCCATGTTAAATCTTACCCTCCATTGTATAGCGCAAAGAGACTATGTTACGAGGAACCGCGTCCTTGCCAGATTAGATGTTTACCTTCAGAAATTGTCCTGGAACATGATGAACGTTTTGTAAACCCGAGAAACAAGAAAGCCCACGAGGGTGGGGAATTTCCAAAGAACTAGAGAACAAGGAAGCAGGTGTCTTTGGATAAGGGTCATGATTAATAACCAAACTCACCTGTGATAAAAAGGGGAGGAGAATAAAAAAGCGCGGCGGCAGTCTCTCTGAGAGGCTCCCGACTCTACCTCTGCGTCTTTCTTTTTTCTTCATCCTCACTCCCCCATTCAGGTGCTGTTCGACAAGTGACGGCTGGCTCCGTCAAGGGTGGCGCCCGAACAGGGACCTGAATACGGGGGACCATAGTGAAGGACACCGCGGATCGTGAGCTCGGATAAGTAAATTAAGGGCGGTGAATACACTCGGGAGTAACAAGATGGGTATTGGTAATAGCCGAATGCTTTTTGAACATATGCTTAAAAATATGCTTTGCGCTCGTGGAGCAAAGGTAGGGCATCAACAATTATGTAATTTTTTAGAATTTGTAGAGAAAGTTTGTCCTTGGTTCTCTGAAGAAGGCACAGTAGATTTAGAAGTATGGAATAAGGTGGGAAAGCGACTTCAGGACTATTACGATGGTCATGGACCCACTAAAATCCCTATAGATGCTTTTATTTTATGGGCTTTAATTAGAGATAGTTTGGATCCTCAGTATAAGGGAGAGAGGGTTGAAGGACCCTCCTCAAGTCCTTCCTCGGAGGAGCCTGACAAGGCTGGTGTTCCCGAGGTTGTACCTCCGCCTCCTATAGAAAGTGAAACTAAGCCATCTGCTCCGCCAGTGTATGGTGATGCAGAGCCTGCACTAAGGAAGGGTTTTTTTCCGGCTAAGGGACCCCTAAACCCGGGAGATGCTGATGATTTGGAAGAAGAGGCTGCTAGGTATAACAATGAGGACTGGCCCCCCCTCCCTATCGTAGCCGTGGCCAGGACGAAAAATCCAGACAGCCAGCGAATGAGGACGTGACCAAAAGGATTACTAGATTGGAAAAGAGATTGGAGTCTCTTTGTCAGCAGTGGCAGACAGGCTTAACGGTGGAAGAGGAAGACCAGAAGACTCAGGGCAAGGGAGGAATAGTTCCTAGTATAATTGCTGGTCTTGATCCCCTGCCGGTTGCAGGTCCAAGATTAATAAAAAAAACTGATCCTCTTATAGCCATGATAAAACATCCCCCAGGACCCAGGCCTGTCAATTCTCGGTCTCTGTCGCCATTACAAGCTACCCTGCAACATGCGGTTGACAGAGGGGAAGATACCCAGGGCTTTCATTTAGCTTGTCCAGTATTTGAGGAAGCTGACGCTCAAGGGAATATGGTCAGAATCCATCGGCCGATGTCTTTTAAGCAACCCAAAGAGTTAAAAATGGCATGTGCGCAATATGGCCCTACCTCACCTTTTACTCAAGCTATGTTAGAATCGTTGAGCACGGAGACGCTGCCTCCCGGAGATTGGAAACAGCTTGCTAAGGCATGCCTGTCTGGGGGAGATTACCGCCTTTGGAAAACAGAATTTTCCGAGCAGTGTCAAAGAACAGCTGAATTAAATCGGGCTAATAGAAATGATATTGATTATGACATGCTGGCAGGAGAGGGCAATACGCGGACCTCGCCAATCAATTATTGTTTCCTGCAGGAGTATATGCACAGGTCAATACTGCTGCCAAGTGGGCATGGTAGAAGCTGCCTTCTATAGGTAGGCAGACAGAAGATTTATCCAAAATTAGGCAGGGACCTGATGAGCCTTTTCAAGACTTTGTAGCCAGGTTAATGCAGACTGCCAGTAGATTGCTGGGAGATTCCCATGCGGGATTGTTACTGGTCAAACAACTGGTTTATGAAAATGCCAATACCACCTGTCAGGCAGCCCTAAGACCATTTAGAAAGAACGGCACCATTTCAGACTATATTAGAATGTGTGCTGACATTGGGCCTGCTTATACTCAGGGCCTTGCCATGGCAGCAGCTTTGCAAGGAAAAACAGTTAAGTGTTGTTCCAACAACAAAAGAGAAATCCCAAAGGCAGGGTTCCTGGTCCGCCAGGGAGTTGTTTTAGATGTGGTCAAATAGGCCATCAGGTGCGGCAATGTCCCAATAAGACTCCTCCAGCCAATTCAAACAATGCAGGGAAAGAAAATGGGCCTAGATTGTGTCCCAGATGCAAAAGAGGCAATCATTGGGCTAATGAGTGTAAATCTAAAAATGATGCCATGGGAAATATTCTCCCACAGGGAAACTGGAGGAGGGGCCTGCCCCAGGCCCCGCGACAATGTTATGGGGCACTTCAAACATTCGTTCCCCAGCAAGGAAATCCGTTCAGGACCTTTTCAGAGCAACCACAGGCAGCACAGTACTGGACCTCAGTCCCTCCGCCTTCACAGTATTAACCCCAGAAATGAGGATGCAGGCCCTACCTACCAGAGTTTATGGGCCCTTACCATCAGGGATGATGGGATTGCTTTTAGGTCGAAGTAGCGCTACTATGAATGGTATTTTAGTTGTTCCTGGGGTCATAGATGGGGATTTCATTGGAGAAATTAAAATCATGACTCATTCACCTACTGGGATTTCTGTGATACAAGCGGAACAACATATAGCGCAGCTGCTGTTGCTCCCTCAAATACTAACAAATAAAGCAGCAAAGAGAGAAAAAAGAGGAGATGTTGGATTCGACTCTTTAGATGTTTATTGGGTACGGTCTATAGGAGCCCAACGACCTGTGCTCACCCTGACCATTGATGGGAGAAATTTTCAGGGTCTACTGGACACTGGGGCTGATGTCTCAGTTCTAACTACAGACCAATGGCCTACGGTGTGGCCTAAACAATCAACAATGACACATTTACAAGGAATAGGTCAAAGCCAAAGCACTGAACAGAGTAGTGATATGTTATTTTGGAAAGATGCCGAGGGTCATCAGGGTAGATTCCAGCCATATAGCGTGCTGGGGCTGCTGGTTAATTTATGGGGCAGAGATGTTATGAAAGAAATGGGGGTGTATTTATATAGTCCTAGTGAACAGGTCACCCACCGAATGTTTGAACAAGGGCTTTTACCTAATCAAGGCTTGGGAACTAAAGGTCAGGGGATACAGGAGTCTTTAATGCCTATCCAACGACCTCCAAAAACAGG